TGATCGTGAATTTCTCACCGTCTTCAAATCGTACCCCAAGCCACTGTTTCAAGTGAAAGAAGGGGAAATGATCGCAGGGTGCTGGCACAGGACAGTAGGGCGAACAATTAGTGTTTCCTACTAAAATATTTGATCTCCCCATTGGTTCTGATTGTGGTGCAAGGATGCACATTGTCATGTAGGAGGCCAATTTTGGATGAGAATTTGTGACATCATCAATGTTTATGGTACTTATTACTGTGGGGAGTGTTTCACAGTATACGTCAGCTGTAAGTGTGGCCAACATTTTATGAAATGACACACTAAAAATTCCCTTTTTGACTTGAAAAATGGTAGCCATCATTTTCTAACTGGAGTAAGCTAATTGCTTGAATTTTTTTCGGTTTTTGTGAAAAAGAGTGGCGGCACCGCTATGTTGTTTCTGCAATTGCATACACTATGAAGCGTCGTCACTTGTACAACAGTGTGCAAAAACAAATCATCCTTGTTTTATCCATAGCAGTCCAAAAACGCTCATCTACTTGATGTCCTTTAGTGGTTGAGTTGGTCTGTAAGCATTTACCGTTTGAGTTGGTCGGTAAGCAAGTCTCAGCACTATGTTCTGACACTTTTTTCATTCCTCACAGTTGGTTCATGAACTGTGCACATCTCCTCGTAAATTGAAAAAGCTAGTGATGTTTTTGCATGCAAAAATGTAAATACAGTGTGCACCCCACAACAGGTGGGAGCAACAATATCCGCCACCATTGTTGTCTGTATTCCTTGTCAAGCAGATCACTTCTGAGCCAGAACAATCGCTTCAGCACTTTCGCTGAGAAGTAGCAGATTGTGCTGTGCACATAACTCTTCAGTCTAACGTGCAAATATTTAAAGATTAGGAAATGGCCCCTACTTTGTGAATAAACATTGTAGAAAATTTCATTATCCAAATTTGACTGCAATGATTATTCACCTATTTTTCTAACATTGCTACCGTGATTTCCAGCAATTCTCAGCTGTTTAAGTTACTAGTGTTCCATATGTCCCTATTGTATGCGTATATGTCATGTGCAGTGCATTGCGACTGCTATCCACTGGTGCATAATTTCTTTTTTATGAATGAGTGCTTTTGGGGGCACCAACAGGCATCCTCTATCTCGTGTGTCAGCTCATCAACAGTAGGTGAGCAAGGGCCAAGGGTAGATAATTCTCTTAACTTGTCATCCGTGACAACTTTCACAAGAATGTTGACTTGCTGAAATATTTGCCTCAGGCTTTCATTATTCGCAAACTGTTACTCAGGTAAAGTGCCTGTCACTGCAACCCTTTTACCTTTTTTGAAACGTCAACCAAGTTTTCTTTTCAACATGATCCTGTAAATGGTGTTTTCCAAGGATGCACGTGCTGACCACAACAAGAAGTTCATCTAGTTACTCTTAAAAAGATCGGATGTGCGGGTAAGAACACAGATTCTGAACACATTATGGAGAACAATGTTATATCCAGAGATACCTAGCACAACAGCATGGGAACATTTCTTTTTATTCAACGTGATGTGCTTCTCGCCAGTGTGTTGTCAAATATCATATTGCGGCTCAGGCTAATCTTACTGTCACTGTTCTTTTCGAGAGCATGTGTGGTGAGGAAGACAATGGGCAGCACTGTACCGAGTACTGTGCAAGGGGTGTCCAGTGTAAATATCAATGTTTGACTGAACGAGCCAAGAGACAAAGTTACACAATTTCAGCGGGTAATTTTATTAAACAAGTGGCTATCACTATTTTTTTGCATGTATTGTTCAACAGTGTTCGTTTTTTACATGTATACAGTGCTGCATTGAGGATTGTCAATAAACAATGTAATCTCACTCGCTTGGCGTGTTTTTCGCCAGTTCAGGTCTCTCTGCCACCTGGCGGCATAGCGGAAATATTTATAGTAATGTTAGGGTGACGTGTGTGCGAATACCACCCCGCAATAGCAGCGAATAAACAAACGTCCATAAACCTGCAGGCGCGCATCGCGACCCCCCGCACCCGCTACCTAAAGCGGCCGCCATATTGCCTTAGCGCAATGAATCAATGGATGGATGAATGGATTGACGTGGCTGTACCCTTTAGATCGGGTGGCGGCTAACACCACCTAGCCGTAATACTTAGTGAGCCAGCTTATCTTTTTTTTTTCCTTTAAATATTGAAGCTGAGGACTGGTACTTGAAGTGACGGGTTTAATTTTCACTCGTGCCTTGACTTAGCTACCAATCAAATAACCTCCTTCTAGTTCATTCTACCCGCTTAAAGTCTATTTTGCCCTCTCTGTTCCTAAGCCCCAGTGCTTTGAAAAACTCTGCACCATCATCCTGAACTATAGGGTGAAGCACTTTACTGAACATTGTCCAGTGTTCGGTAGTTTCCTCCTTGTCTCCACATGCACTACATACTGTGTCTGCCTCTTTGTATTTGGCCCGATATGTCTTGGTTCCCAATACTCCCATCTTGGCCTAAAACAGTAGAGAACTACCCCGAGTATTGTCATAGATCCTTTCCTTGGCAATTTCCTGCGTAGAAGTTCGACAGATCTCTAGTGCGGACTTCTTAACCATGCCACTTCTCCACATATCGGTGTCTGTTTCCTTCACTTTCTTCTTAACCGATAGTTCTTTATGGTTTGGCTCCATGCTGTTATCCAAGTATTTACTCGTCAATTTTCTCGTTCGCTTCCTCCATTTTTTATCGGCATTCTTCATATACAAGTAGCTAAAAATTTTCCTAGCCCCACGCTGCTCCTCCTTTATTTATCTCAATCGCTTCTCAAATTTTATCTTGCTGCTAGCTTCCCTGTACTCAAATGATGTCCATCCCATATCAACTTCTACTCCCTGATTTGGTGTATTCCCGTGAGCTCCTAAAGCAAGCCTACCTATTCCAGGTTGCTTAATTTCTAATCTTGCTTGAACTTCTGATCTCATGCACAAGACCGCATTGCCGAACGTCAGACCAGGAACCATGACCCCTTTCCATATTCCTCTCACAACATCATACCTATTGTAATTCCACAGTACCCTGTATTTCATTACGGCTGCATTCCTGTTACCTTTAATCGACACGTATATTTCGTGCTTCCCTTAGGTACTCGGCCCCATTACTTATCCATACGCCCAGATATTTGTATTTATCTGTTATCTCTAGCGTGACCTCCTGTATTCTAAGCTCACTACCTTCATTGTCATTAAAAATCATGACTGCTGATTTTTCCTTACTGAATCTGAAATCTAACCTATCTCCCTCATTACCGCAGATGACTATCAATCTCTACAAATCTCCCTTGTCGGTCATTAGCACTATATCATCTGGGTACATCAATGCTGGTAGTGCCTGTTCAATGAGTTTTCCTTGTTCGACGGAAGAGAGGTTGAAGCCAAGTCCACTTCCCTTTAATTTGGCCTCTGATTATGACAGGTACATCATGAATAACAAGGGTGACAAAGGACACCTTTGCCTAAGCCCCCGTTTTACCTCTGTGGGCTTGGATACCTGGTTTTCCCACTTTATAACTACCTTGTTACTTTAATAGATATCCTTTAAAAGATTAGTGACTCCATCTTCCACACCTAGTCTGTCGAGTATTCCCCGCAAGTCCTCTTGAACCACGCTATCGTACGCTCCCTCGACATCTAAAAATGCTAGCCACAGGGGCCTGTGTTCCTTTTCTGCTATTTCGATGCACTGTGTCAGTGAGGAAGAACTTGCACCGCGCTGTCGCGGTGTGAGCTCTTCCTGGTGCTTAGCTGGAGACTACACAAATACTGCCTAGAGAGAAGAACGTAAGTCTTTTTCGGATGTATGTAACATAAATTAAATCTCGGAATACTCGCGGAATATCCTGCCGTCTGCTTTTTTTTTTTTTCATGTCTCGCTTTTGCTTTATGCGGAGCTCGCGGGCGAAAAACGCAGCGGGTGAAATACTCATTGACCAAAGCAGGCGACCAGCAAAAGCGTCGAAGAATAGCTGAAGAAGTTCGTAATGAACTTCGTAGCTGATTAGAGGCAAGAGATCACAGTCGCAGCGACGATCATGCTGCAAACGAGCCATCAGAGCGAGGAATGAAGCTCTACTTTGTGACTCAACTGCTCGGCACGCTCAGTTTACCTTGCGCATCAATCGAAGGTGAACAAAATGCAAGTAACTTTTCTTCATCTGATACTGCACTGAGCGCTTCCACCTTGCCTCACGCCGAACACGTTTGCTAGCCGCTCCGAATGCAATAATTTTATTTGTTTTCTTAAGGCTTTTAACAGTGGCAGGTCGGGTCAAATTGGCTTTGTAGATTTGTAGACAAATTAGCTAGACATTTTCAGGATATGTCTTGGTGCTTCAAGCGATTGAAGTCTACTGCTTTATTTTGCCAATTTAAATTAGTGTGCCTTTTTTTTTTTTTTTCAGCGAGGCAGCTCGAGCCTGCATTCAAAGTGCCCTCTTGCAAGTTAGATGGACTGATTGGCTGTGTGAACTGGTTCGCCATCCGCCTTGTTTAGATTACAACAGCACGAACCGTCTGCCCAAAACTACAAACATTCACCAGTAAGTTGTACTAAGTAGTACTCGAATGCGATGCCAAACCTTGTTTTTTTTTTCAGTTCTTTCTATTGTGTTGTAGAATTATGATAGCTACTGAAGGGCAACTTGCACCTGTTTGTTTGTGCCTTGTAATTATGATACTACGAATCATATTAAGTTTTACACTACAAAATTAATGTCAAGGGACTTATGTCTCCTGATACTTTCTCACTTATGTCTGTGTCACATTTTGTCTTGGCAGAGCTTGTAGGATGACTTGTAGATGCAAAGTTTGTTGACAGTACTTTCAGGGTGTCTACCAATTACATTTTTCCAAATTCCCTGACTTTTCCAGGTTTTCCATGACCATTTCAAGCAAATTCCATGACCGGTACGTCTGCTTGGAAAAAACTGCGCACTGGAAAACAAACTCCTGAGCGGTAAAAAGAAATTATGAGGCGCTCATATAAAATGGAAACCATGCTGCTTTATTGCATTCCCTTGTCTGAAAGCATTTTTTACAATAAATAAAATATTCAAAGACACAATAATTGTCCCTCGACAAACAGAAAAGCTTGTTTACTTGCATCGGCAATGCCTTCACTGTTTCAAGGATTCAATCTCTTGCTGCAGCATGGAGACCTGAAGCTGTGCGTCTTCCATCAGTTTTTGCTTCTTTGATTCAAGCTCTTTCACAAGAGCCGCAGTCCTCTTCTTTTTCCTTTCAGCATCCAATACGTCCAACCGTTCCTTCTTTTTCCTCTCCCGGTCTTCCTTCCATTTGATGTTGGAACTTCGAACCATGTCTATCATCTTGTCTGTTACGTCAACTTTTGCAACACCACCTGCTGCAGACACCTCATCGTACACTAACCTTTGTGCTACAAGTGACTCCTCCTTCATATTTTCCACAAGACATTCCTTGCTCACTGAAAATCCCCGCTCCACGGAAGAATTTCCATGTGAAAGGCACAGCACAATCTTCACAAACAGCAGTAGCTCTTCATGAGAACTTGCACAGAGTTCCACCCACAGCTTCTCCAAGCGCTCTCTTGCACGATCAAATTTTCGCAAACGCACTTGTGCAGTGCTGTTCGAGCACACTTGTACATATGATCTACTTGCTCTCTCTCCTTGTAGGCCTGTAAGGCGCCCATGCTCTATAAGTACTTCAAGTGCAATGTTTAGCTGCTTCTGGCCAGCTTCCACAGAAGCGGCACAAACTGCTGGGTTTCAGCAACTGGCCCCCCTTGTCAGCTTGTATTTCAGAGGTTATCTTTCGATTATCTTTGCTGAACAGCCCTTAATAAATAAGATGCATTCATTTTTGACACTTACCACCGCAGTGTGAGATGGTTTAGTGATCTTTCGCAACTCACTTTTGGCGGCAAGGCCTATGTCAAAGGCAGCTATACCAATGATGTTGTTTGGGTTCTCCAGATCAATTTTTATCAGTTTTGAAAATGTGCCTGCAGCATCCAGCTTTTCCTTTAGCACGATTCGTCCCAGCAGTGACCGCAACAGGCTGTCCAGTGCTGTTGCAAGAAAAGGTAGCATCGGCTTTTCTGTCTGAAACTCAGCCAAAAATGGCTCCAATTCTTCTGAAACTGAAAGCATAAAGGCCAGCTTTACTGGCAGCATCTCGTCTTTCACAGCCGTCTCGACATGAGCATAGCTGCCACACGCTGGAAGTTTCTTTTCTTTCTTGACATGCTCAACATATTTGACCACATTTGGGAGGACTTGCAGTGCCCTAGCAAGAGCCTTGCCATTTTCCAGCCAGCGCACTGACTTTAGCGGAAACAGTATGCTCCCTGTGAAATTGACATAGTCGGCTCGGCGTGCAGGGACGTTTTTGAACAAATTGTACAAGCTTCTAAGAAACACTACTGTGTTCCACTTTGTCACATTGTGGCCTGTTTTAAATGCACCACTCACAACGTGCAGTCCACAGCTTCCAATGTCCACAATATTCTGATTTCCATCAGACGCAGAAAACTCTTGCTTCAACGACTTCAACAACTTCAAATTGACGTTTGGACCATCCATCGAAAGTTGAAGTATTTTTGCCGGCTCAATGTTCTCAGTGGCTTTTTTGAAAGCGGCAGCTAAATCTTCTGCGCGAGTGTGTCCTAAAAAACAGGACGTCAGGTAGCGGGTTTTGACAACGTCGTCAGCTGGGTCCCAAAACGTGATCAAAACGTCCATTTGCTCTTTCTGAGCAATTTTGTACAGGGACTCGTCAAAAGCCACGACCACGTGTGGGACACTATGCAGCTTTGATAGCAGCCTGTTTCGGAAGTACGGGGCTATACCGTAACAAATTGTATAGCCAACTTTGTCCTTACCAAGTTGCAACTTCTTCGCGACGTCGTACGTGGGGAACATGATGGGAAAAAGCGCCGCTGACGCTGCTGCTGAACGAAACGATCTATGGGTCGCTATAGTGTTCAGACACCAAACAACTTCTGCTTTCGTGACACATTTTTTGACCAGAAACCCATTTAAGGATGCCTTCCCGTCAGGCGCGACGGCCACCGGTTTAGCAGGCACGCTTTCAGCACTCGTGCTTGGCACAGTCGATACACATTCACTCGTAGTCGTAGCAGTCATGGAACACGGCAAGTTGGGTCCAGCACCGAGAAACGCGCGGATGTTTGTCTGGGAAGCACTTTGCACAATGCTCACAGCAGTTAGGTGTTTCTTGCTCACAGCGTGACTGGAGACAGCAGCGATGCCCATATTGCTAAGCGAGAAAGTGTTCTGGCATGCTGCACAGTGAACCTTACTTGTATCGTTCGGCACTGCTCTAATCCATGAGGCGTGCTCGGATATTTCCGCATTCACCCAATCAGGGTTAAACGAACACTTCTTCGCAAGAGGCATAGCAACTCACTGCATGCTCACGGCATCACAAGAAGAATGGCAATATGGCTGCAGCCCAGGCATCTTGATATGTGGATTGCGTTGGATCCGATCTGGATTACCATATTTGCTCTACTACTGTTTTTGTATCCCAGTCCAATTTACGCACCTGTAAACTACACATTTTAGTAAAAAAATAATTACGACTCGCATATTCTGTGCACCTTGCCCTCTGCTGATGGCACTTCCAGCCTAACCAGAAAACCCTCAAGCCGAGCCGAGATCGCGGCCAAGACAACATGCACAATTTTATGCGCGTGAGTAACGTTGTACTCGGAAAGTAGAAGCGCCAGCTATGCACTGCTTTTTTTTAACTATGCTTCTGCTTAGCTGTTCTGTGTGGTTTAAGGAGCGATTTTTAAAGCTTTGATTAATGCTAATGAATATTTTCGTGACGATCTGAAAGACTGCAGTCAGTTTCCATGACCTGGCCGGATTTTTCAGAAATTCCCTGACTTTTCCCTGACTTTTCCAGGCGTGTTCAAATTCCCTGACTTTTCCAGGTTTTCCAGGTTGGTAGACACCCTGACTTTGTATTGTTACTGTATGCAGTATTTTCCATTTCTTAATATCACTATAGTTTCAATGTAAAACCACAATTGGTGCCAATATTTGGTTTTTTTTTTTTTTATTCATGCTTATCTATTCAGTTGTGCAATGTGGCAATGAGATATTTTTCGTTGAAAGAATTCAGAGTCACTTTTTCAGCGACGTTCGAGGTTATTTTCAATGCATGTCTCAGCTAACCGATATAGGTCCCTCGTCAAAGATTGGGATAGTAATAATGGATGAAAAATCTTTCTGCTATATTGCTGTTCTGGATAAGGACAATTATTCTGAACGATTCTAAACATATATTTTCTTTGAAGAAAACTTGTACTGTTAATTTAATCCTGCAACTTTGATTATACGAAACTGTCTTTTCCCTCCTGTAAATAAATTCTTGCATTGCTTTTTATCTTGACTCTGAGTGATGAAACCATCTCTCTGAACGTCCGTAGCACTTGAAACCTCACTGTCATAACAGCCATGGTAGATCAATTCATTGCTGCTCTTCAAAACTACATTGCCGACAACGTACTGCAAGTGCTGAGATGTTTTTGTTGCATAAAAACACAAAAAAAACAATTCATTTTGCACAGTGATATGTTAGGCTAACATAAAGCACTTACTTTTTCGTCAAATATATGTTGCTGCTATCAATCACTGACTGTCAACACGCAGATCTGCAGGCAACGGGGCTGTTAAGTTGAAGCTGGCTTCATGACGACTTATTTTAAGCATCATGGCATACCATGCAAATTAAAGAATTCTATTTAGTGCCCTCTGTCATTGACTGTACCAGCCTGCCACTTGATCTTTGCAGTGATATGACAAAATTGAGATACCCGCGCTTATGTGATCTGAATACATGAAAAATGAGCCATGAACAACAACATGCCTCGACATATATATGCTGCAAATTACTATGGTTTCCTATATTGAATTTTAGCAGCGCGAAAAATGCACAAAAGACAAGAAAGGGACGAGACAAGCGCTGTCTCGTCCCTTTCTTGTCTTTTGTGCATTTTTCGCGCTGCTAAAACCCAAGTATGCCATACCAACTAGCCCAGTCAACCGCTCTATTACCTATATTGAAACATCGCAATATCATTGCAACAACATTATTACAGCAATGCTGTATGTTACAGCTAGGATACTCAAAGATTGCCTTAGTGTTGCTCTAATGTCTAAGCAGCACGACAAAAATATTGCTTCATGTAGAAATTGAGTTACTTTAAGGTTGCCGTTATGTTGTTGAAACTTTGAAGCAACATTCCAGGCATGTGGCATCAACATTGCTCTATGTTGCTCTTCAGTTCGAAAGATTCCGAAATGTTGTGGAAACTTCCAAGCAGCATGGGGAAAACGTTGCATCAACATTGCCGTACGCTACGGTTAAGATAAAAGTTGTCTGAATGTTGTAGCAACTTCCAAGCAGCGTTACAAAATTGTTTTATCAATGCTGTGGCAATTTTGTTTTTGAATGTTGCCACAATGCGGCCAAATATGGACATTAGCCACATTGAGACAATGTTGGTAGTATGTACAAATAAATAAATAAAAAAGTTGGAAGGTAACATTGCTGTAACGTTACGGCAAGAATGCGTGCTACTAGGGCTATTGTTGTCGACGAACAATCTTAATTGTCCAACTGGACTTTGATGAGCATATCATGATGAGCATATCGCCGCGAGGAGTCGCCGTAGTGCCAGACGCTACGGCGACTGGCGCTTGGCACGAGAGTTCGTGCCAAGCGCCTTGAGGCTTCGAATATGAACCTGTACCTTGTCGTTAAGTTGCCTCAGCTGATGAACATCTGCTGACAACGACATCGGCTTTAGATCCAGGAAACCTTGCAAATGGTCCTGCACAATGATGTGTTCATCTCCGAAACGCTTCTTTAAAATTTCAATAGCGTCTTTATAGCACTCTTTGGTAGCTTGTAATCCTGATGTAGCCGAAGCGGCCGCTATGGTAACCAAACTGCTCAAAGAGTTGAACTTGTCAGCTGTGCTTAACTCGCTGTTGTTGTGGACTGCTGATGTAAACTGCGTCCAAAATCTCGGCCATGGTCTGCAGTTACCATAAAATTTTACGAGTTCTAGTTCAGGAAGCTTGCTTTTGCCAGATGATAACGGGTGGACGTTCATGAGGCGTGGGGCTGGAGGCTGCAGACATTCATTCAGCTTGACTCGTAAATTCGCTGTGAGAGTAACAACCTTGTCACGGTGCCCCACCGCGGTGGTCTAGTGGCTAAGGTATTCGGCTGCTGACCCGCAGGTCGCTGGATCGAATCCCGGCTGTGGCGGCTGCATTTCCAGTGGAGGTGGAAATGGTGTAGGCCCGTGTGCTCAGATTTGGGCGCACATTAAAGAACCCCAGGTGGTCGAAATTTTCGGAGCCCTCCACTACGGTGTCTCTCATAATATGGTGGTTTTGGGACGTTAAACCCCACATATCTATCTAACCTTGTCACGGTATTCTCCTGTGCCCAACGCCTCACTGTCCAACAGGTCGTCTGGCGTCTCTACGAAAATTGCCTCATCCACTTTATCTGACCATAAAAAAAGCTTATTCGGTCGAGGATTACACTTACAACTGCTGCCATGACTGCTCGACTTTCTCGCAAGTGGTTTTCCGCTTCGGACAACAGGACATCCAGTTGGGACCGCAGGCTGCGGCAGTCGCCTAAGATATCGTTCCATTTCTGACCCCGCAGACAATGTCTCTCGCCAAGATCACAGGCGCCGTCTTCTGAGGTGTTGCGGCTCCTAACGTCGATGATGTTGGCGTCGTCAAAGATCCCAGGTTTTCGGCACTATGTGTTGGATCTCTGAGCCTTACTGCAGCTGCGCGACTCACATCGAGCAAGGAACACATCTTGCAAGATGAAAGGCTTTAATAGAACAGATGAAGAAAGAAAAAGAAAAGAGTGAATTGGCGCTGCCACGGGTCAGCTTGTGAGGAGGCTCAATAATCATGATGGCTGCTCTTCTGCTGCGAGAGAATGAAGAAAAGAAAGTCACAGCAGCCACTATCTCCCATAACTACAGTAATCAACCTCTGGCCTTCAGTCCCCAGCGGCAGCGAAGCAACTGTCCAAAGCGGCGGTCACACCTGCGACGCAGCGGAGGGTGCTAAAAATGTGTGGGTCCGGACAGGCCGCCATTAGAATCTGAACTTGGCTACCTTCAATGCAAGAACTCTATCTAGTGAGGCTACTCTAGCTGCTCTATTCGAGGAATTAGAGGGTGTTCAATGGGATGCAATAGGCCTCAGCGAAGTTAGCAGGACACGTGAGGATTATACAGCGCTGAAGAATAGAGACGTCCTGTGATACCGTGGATTAATTGACAGAAAAGAACTAGGGGTGCGGTTTCTCGTACACAAATTACCGCTGACAACATAGAGGAATACTACAGCATCAGTGGGAGCAAGTATCATAATTAGGTTAACAAAAGGTACAAAATGAAAGTGGTGCAGGCCTACATCGAGCTGTGATGATCATTTAGTTGAATGGTTCTATAAGGACGTAGACTCGGCCATTAATAAAGTAAAGTCACAGTAAACTATTCTGATGGGCCACTTCAATGCCAACATAGGCGAAAACAGGCCGGCAAACCATGCAGTGGGAAAATATGGCTTCGGCTCTAGAAATGCCAGGGGGGAGTTATTAATATAGTTTGCAGAATGTAATAATCTACGGATCTTGATTACCTTCTTCAGAAATCGCGCTGAACCGTAAGTAGACATAGCGAAGTCCTAATGGCGAAACTAAAAATAAAATAGACTTCATTTTGGGTGCACAACCAGGCATTGTACAGAATGTAGTAGTTGGCAAGATCTGATGCAGTAACCATAGAACGGTATGAGCTCGTATTCACCTAGATTTAAAAAAGCAATAAAAAAACTTATACGCAAGAAGCCAATTAATGAACTAGCGATGAGAATGAAATAAGAAAAATTCAGTTTCACTTCAGAATAAATTCGAGGCACTAAACGAGGTAACTGAAGTTTGCGTTGACACAATTAACGATCATCCTCATAGTATCACTAAAGAGTGTGCACTGGAAGTTGGAGATACAGTCTCTATACAGGACACTGACAAGCTATCTCCGAAGACGAAAGATCTTATTAAGAGACAACAAACCATGAAAGCCTTCAATGCAACTGACAAAATAGAGCTAGTGGAGCGTTTGAAGTTAATCAATAGATGTAAGGTAGCCGACATCAGAAGGTATAACATGGAGAAAATTAAGGAGGCTGTAAAAAGCGGCAGAAGCATAAAAGCTACAAAGGCAAACTTTTGCATAGGCAAAAATCAGAAGTATGCATTAAGGAACAAGGAATTCAATGTCATAACCAATATGGATAGGATAGTTGATGTGGCTGATGAGTTCTACAGAGAACTGTTCAAAAGCCAAAGCAACCAGGATGATATCGTGAGAAACAATACTATTCCAGAGGAATT